AATATTTACACTATAGTATGCGGTCTACACAAATATTATCATCGTCACCATTTTAACTGTCGTTTATTTGTAATTGGCGTCATTTATTATAAATAATGCTTTTCAACTAATAAAGTACAAAATACCATTACGTATCATTTTTGGGGCAAATATTATCGGAATTAAATAAATTCCAACAGTCAAAACTAACACAATTATAACCTTAATTTAAGGTACTCTTTTGGAACACACAACTTATTAAATTATTATTTTCTGAATAAGAACGTGGATAGATATAAATTATTTAGCAAGAAATTATGTTTTAGTGAATCATTAAAACAGTGATGATGATAGTATCAGTGTAGACTGCACGCTTTAGTGTAAATATCTTTGTAGACTGCTTGCACCAGTTAGTGTTTACCTCACTAATTCCTAAGTGTTGTACATTAGTCCAAGAGATAAAATACAGTCATGGTAATAGCATGGGATATTTTGTTGGTATAGCTGTACTATTACTTGTATGTATGTATGTATATATACTTTTTTTTTTCCTAGGATACGTCATGACTTGTGAAAAATACCTTGGAACAGGGGTGTAGTGCTAAATAAAGAAGTGCAGGAATGCAAAATCTACTGCATAACTGTGTAAGGTGGGATTTGTTCTAAATAGTGGCAATATGATGTGGCTAAAAACAAATTGTGCCCATGCATTCCCACCCCACTACACCTCTGCTTTGGAAGTTGTTATTGTATTTGGCTAAAAATTCACTTTATTCTAATCTGGAATGTCATTTTTTTGTAAGAATATAGTTTCTATTATTCTGTAGTACTGCTAAAGCTGAACTGGTTGCAAATATGAGCTATTGGTTTTAACTTTATTTTTGTTTGATGCTTCCAAATTTTCCTTTTTTGATGTGAATTTTGTTTCAGTTTTTGTGCAACATGTTTATTCCTATTAAATTAAATCTTTCTCATGTATGTGGCTTCATAGCTGCTAAAACATTTACTTCACTAAGACACCTGGATAAGTTGCTTTTTGTCATTTTCTATAGGGTGAACTCTAGTATTTTGGGTCAAAGAAAGAAAAATCAACGGAAGGCTCTGAATAAGCAAAAGGCCAGATCTCGAAAGGATTCTGTGTCATCATCTGATAGTGAATGTACAGATGCTGGAGATAAAGATAATGGAAAAGGAACTGACTTGGAAAATACCACGAAGAGAAGTATTAGTGATACCAATTCTTATGATGAAGGAACTGTGTGTGCAAAAAATGAAGGAAAACAAAAATGTAAAAGTCAAAAAGTTGAAACCTACAATTTGGAAACATCTCTTTCTATTTTAGATTCTTCTGGTTTCAAGGATCAAGTAGAAGATGAAAGTACCAAAATTTTAGTAGATAAGAAATGTGTATCTGTAGATGGGTTTTTTGACCAGGAGGTTTTAGACTCGACTTCTTTTGAAGTCACCAACCATGAAGATTGGACAGTTGTCAAAAGAAAGAAAAGAAATGGGAAACGAAGAAACTCAAATGAAGCCAAAGATTGTGACACTGATAACGTTTGTGATGAAGAAAAGTTTAATTTAACTTTGTCCCAAAGGAATGGCACTGATGTTAGAAGTACAACAACTGTGAATGGGAAAAATCTTCAAAACTTCTGTGTTAATAATGGAAGAGAGAGAGAAGAAAATATCCCCGATGAAACCAAGAATGTAGTATCTCATATTGATAGTGCAGAAAACACAGACCACATACTTAATGGCTCAACTGATGGACAACAGAGCAGCTGTTCTATTGAACATCTGGAAGACAAACAACTGGACAGTCAACTTACTGGGAACCAAGATCATAAACATTACAAAAGCACTCCTACGAATGGCTTAGTGGACAATAACTACTTTATCAAATACCCAGAAGATGTATCTACGTCAAGTGACTTAGAATTCAATCAGCTGAAAAGTTGCCCTGGTGTAGAAGACAAGAAGAAAACTGTGTTTACAGAAGAAACTGAAACTACAGTCTCATCAGAAAAGGTGCTTACTACTGATGATAATGACACCAGTGATGATCATTGCATAAATTCTGTTCCTTCAGAACCCATTGTTTCTGACATTACCAAAACCTCAGTATTTCCAACCTGTGAGAACAGAACTATAATTGACAAATCAATTCAAGAGGAAGAGGATGTCACAGTTGGATCTGAAACTGTATTAAAAGGGAATGTGAATTCTCCTCAAGTCCACAGTTATCCCACACACTGCATCATTCAGTTCTCTAATAACTTGATGTATCAGCTGGACTGATGAAGCTTTTATTTGGGCTGGAAATAAATTTAGGTTTTTAGTGTTTCTAGGAACTATATGCTTAGTACAAATATTACAAAAAATTAGATTCTACTCATGCAAATCTTCTAGTGAAAACTAATTACTGGGTGGTTGAATGGTAGTTACATAATCTTTTTTTTTCTCTATTTGTTTTTATAGAGAGTTTCTTTTTTGTCAAGCTGAGTCAGTAAGAATTGCATACTACATCAAATGTTGATTTACTGTTTGCAGAAACTTATCTAATTTCAAGCTTATGTAATTTCACTAAGTCAAATGATTCACATGCTTATTAGAGAACCTGAGTTTAAAAAATTTTCTAAACACCCTTGCTAGAAAGTACAGCAAAACTGTAGCATACAAAATTTATCAATTAAGTTTACGTACTGGAGCTTCAATGTCTATCATCTACAATCAGTTCATTCAGCATTTTTGAACATCATTCATCACACTCAGTTTATACCGTGTAGCATAAATATCACAGCAAGTCAATACAGCATTTTTTTAATAGACACGCCATTTTGTACATCAACAATACATTCAAATTGATCTACTTTTATCAAAACATAAGAAATTTTCTAAAGTTTTTAGGAAAAAAAACACGTGTATATTAATACATTTATATGAATTATTTAATTTGACTTACCACAAATTTTGAGCATTTGAAATATTATTCCTAAAATTTTAACAACTTTTAACTGCAAATAATACAAGTTTTTTTTACCAATCATCTGAATTATGAGTTACATATATATATATATATATACTCTTCTGTTCAGAGTCACTTTTCACTAGTATAACAACAAAAGTATACCAAACTTGGAAGTCACTTGGAAAACATTTTTAAAGTACATTAGTCCCTGTGCATGTAGGCCAGAATTGTAATATAATAATAGTTATTTATACATAAAACATTTGTAATAAAATGTTGATTAAATTATTGGATACTATATTCAGTACTTGAAATAGTAAAAATAAAATAAGTGCTGGGGGTGTAATAAATATTTCTACAATCAATGAGAATTAGAAGTCAACGGTAATTTTTCTCATCGAAAATTTTTGTTACATATTTTGTATGCAAAAAAATTTCACAAATAATATAATCAGTGCTTGAATTGGGCCAGTACTTGCAAATACGCAGTAACAGCACTTCTATGTTCCAAATAGTTTCATACTGGCATTTCTCATTACAGGCAATAATATTTAAGAGTGTACTGCCACTTCTTTATTGTATTTGTCATTGTTACCAGTCTTTAATTTGTAACAATTCAAGAACCACTTTCCTGGTCATTTTCAGTGATATATGTAAGAAGCTTGTAACCACAGGTGGAAAACACAATGCAAAGAAGCTAGAATTCATGTTTTATGAAGAGAACTGAATATGTTAATTTTCAAACTGTTAGTGTGTCACATGTAGAGAACTTTGGCCAAACAAAAGATATGTGTCGATCCAGTTTCCCAACTGTCCTCAGTTTTTACTGATGGCCTCAAAATTTTGGAGGTGGATTTGTTCTCTTATGATAAGAAATAATTTAGAAACATCCATCTAAAAAAAAAAATCATACCTACCTACTCTATTGTTTTGGGGTTGGAAAACCAGAACCACACAAATATATATTTTTTGTTCAGGCCTTGTCACCAAATATGGAGGCGATAATACAAAAAAGGTGCATGTCTTATAAAACAAGTTTAATGTAATATATGAAATATTGAACCGGTGGTAATTCAGAATAGGTGTACTTAACATCATCAAGCTCAATACGTAACATGTTTTTCAAGAATGATACTCTTCAGTATTATTATACAGTGTCTTCAGTCAGGAGAGTGTTACATACTTATCAAAAATGATATGCATTAGCATCATTATAGAATGACTTAGTCCTGAGAGTGTTGCATAGTTATCAAAAATGATATGCATTGGCATCATTATAGAATGACTTAGTCCTGAGAGTGTTGCATAGTTATCAAAAATGATATGCATTAGCATCATTATAGAATAACTTAGTCCTGAGAGTGTTGCATAGTTATCAAAAATGATATGCATTAGCATCATTATAGAATAACTTAGTCCTGAGAGTGTTGCATAATAAGATTGTGTATTTTAAGAACACATTTTAGCAAAATGCTTAACTGTGTAGAAAAAAATGCATGAATTTGACAGTTTTATTAATAGCATCTATGCAGAAATTTCAAGAAGTTAAAATTATAAACTAATCTTAATTTGATAAATTATGTTGAGTATTTTAATTTTTATAGAAAACACTTGGGTACGTGCCTCTGATTTATTTAAATTCACGTTTTTGGAACAGTGAAATTATAAAAATCTGCTTATAAATAATGCACACTATTAATTACCAGGTTGAATGGTCTTTCTTGGGTGAATTGGTGTTTTGATTATGACTAAAGTACACCAAATGTTGGCATCAAAGAAACAGAAGGTAGAAGGGGCTTTTGAACAAAGTTTTTATTACCAGAATACATTGACAAAATGTATACATTCGGTATTTAATGTACTTCTAAAGTCTGTTCTACATATTTGATTTTCAGGTATGTCAGAACTAACAAAAACAAGGAGTGAGTGAAATGTTATTGAACTATTAGTGAATGGAACTATTTTTTTTTTACGGAAAGTCATGCTAGTAACCAGAAATATGCTGAGATGAAAATCAACTGATTACCAAATAGTTGGTTTCTTTATTTGCTATTTGACTGGTCAGCAGTTCCTCGAATCTGGCTTGTGACTTGAAATCTTGGTTAAGATATGGCAGTATGCATTTATATATTTTAGAATACCTTGCTAGAATTAAGCAGTTTTCCTGCTTCTAAGGTGTGAAATTGTTAACAGCACTTTGTGAGTGCAAGTGTTTTGATTACTATTTAGACTGACTAATAATACACACTTATACACAGATAAACATTCAGTAAAAGGAAAGCATTTTGTAACATTGTGACTTTTCCCTACTACGGTAATGAAGAATATTGTAAATTTAAGGATATTTTGAAATACTGATTTAAGCACGAGATCTGCTTTGTGGAGTTGGATATTGATTGGTAAATTTACAGCCTGCAGTTAAAGAAACAACGAATAACGTTTTTAGTTATTTCCCAGTTTACTCTTAGAAAGCTTACGGGGAAAAAATATTGCGTGCATAGTTTGTAACAGGATCTCACAAATTTTAATTAGGCTTAGTTATTCAACTTTATAATATCATTCTTTAATGTTGTAGAAAGTTTAAGGTAGTGCATTGTTTATAATATGCATAGAAACGTCCATTTTCGTAAAATTTAAATCGATATGACACTAGCCGTGCACGTTGAAATTTATATTGATATGGTTAAGCAATTAATGGTGCGCACACTGAATTAATAGTACTAATTTTACGTAATTAGTCATAGAAGAGAAACATTGTATACATGTTTTTATCTAAACTACACTATATACAGTGTATTACATTTTATTAGAATTGTTTACTTGTAATCAAGAATAGAAGTTATTTTTATCCAATCCCTGCAGCCATTTTGATGTGTTTTTACGTATGGTAAAAAGTTATTGTTTTGTAGCTTAATCTATAACGATTGTTGTTTGTGTTTTAAGTACTGAAAGTATTTTCTTTGTAGTGTGTTTATGCTTTTGTAATCTTTATTTATCTGTTGGGATGTTACTTTTTTTGTGGATTCTGTAGTTTATTACTGTTCATGTCATGTTTTGCCAGATGTCGGCTTTTTTTTTTTTTCTCTCCTGAAAAAGTAAAACTCGTACTGCCATATTATCCCGCCGTATTACTCTGTTGATAATGTATAAATACGATGCTATTAGACTATATATCTATATATATACTTTGCCAGTCAAATTTTGGTTTTGAATTCTTGGATTTTTGCTTTGAGAGGTGTTCCTAGCATTTCTTAGTGTTGGAAATCAAATAAAAACAATTGTTGGTTGATGCAAGGTGTTCCTGAGTATTCTTTTTTTTTCTCTCGGTATAAACATTTGTTGCAAAAATCTGGGTTGTATTCAGTAATATTAACAATAGAACGATATTGATAGCGTATAATCAGTACAGAAGAGCTATGTTTGAACATTTAAAGTTGAGATTCCTGAGATGTTTCTTGGTAACCAAAGGGTTAATCGTATTGTATAGGACGATTTATTGCTAATACAGCGGCGTGTCGCTGCAGATGTGGCGCCACGTTTAGCACCTATTTGTTCCATGATGAAATCTCTACAATGCAGTGCCACCAAGACAGGTTTATAGCCTTCTCTGTGATATATATATATTTCTGTAGGGAGATTGTTAAAAGGAGCCTTCTTGATCTCTACGGATGCTGGAAAACACCACAGCAGAGCGTTTAGGACAGCAATAAGCTTTAAAATCACACCATAAGTTAATCTGGAGCAACGCCTTCCTCTGCGTAGCAAAAGTTTTGGTCACGAAAGAGAACATTTTGACCCAAACACATAACAGTGAAGCTGACCATATCTCCCACGTGCTACTGTTGAACACATCAATACCAAAGTAACCAACTTTTCCGATACCGTTATAATAAAACAAACTAGAATTGATTCTTGGCAAAAATATCGATTACTTTGATTAACCTGATAAGGAACAGAAAGAAATGAGCCTGTTTTTTACCGCATGAGTTGGTTCCCGTCATTAACAGTTTTTATGAATATTAATAACAATTACCATGCTTTCTTTGTTAACCCTGTAGTTTACCATAAAATTGTATGATAAGATATTTATTGCTATTTCAAACACTGTGGAATTGATTAAATCAAATTATCACACTATTAGAACCATATAACAGAGTATAATTTTTAAAAAGCCATAAACTTTAACTTAATTCAGAACCCTACTAACTACTGTAAATTTGCCAGAGAGGGTGTATATTATGCCAAAATTGTAACATGTTAAAAAAAAATCATTGTAGTAAAAACTATTATAAATAAAATTATTGGCCACCTGTATTTTTCCCTAAATAGCCTACTGACTGATCAGTGTGAGCAATGTGTTTTTGAGTGATCAGTATCTGTATCTCCGATGTATGGCAAGTATCAAACGGTATCGTACCGAACCACAGACTGACAAGATCGCCCACTACCACAGTTAAAGTTAAATTTTGGGACTCAATAACAGCAGCGAGCACAACACAGTCAAGTATTTGTGCTTAACATGATTCATAGAGGTCGCAAAGTGTCGATCTAATTCCTCCATTATCCCAGTTACTTCTATAGCTACCACAGGGTGTGTGGCGTACCCGAAAATTCCAGTTAGAACACCGGTCCTTGGTCCCACCGCATTCGCGAAGGGAGCCAGAAACAAAATCCGATGTCAAATTTTTGTTTACCAACCCTGAAAACCTCTTGGACCATCTCGTCTAGGTACCTTTCGAGGGTTTTAGTCCTCTTAGAGCTACACCATACAGATAAGGATACTTTCTGACTACCCCGAATCCGCTTTCCAAGTTCGGTCCTGCTAGCTTCAGAAGTGTGGAAGGAGTCAGGTGATCATACATGCGAAGCTGCAAGCTGAATTAATATAGATTTTTGAAAGCTTGTTTTAGAGCAAAGCCACATTGAGCTATCAGCGCATTTTGGCGTTGTACGTCCGTAAAGTCACCACTGTCCAACCGGGGGACGAATTTTGAAAGTAAAACGTTGATTTCATCTTCTTTTTTTCCATAAATACCCGTTTATAGTGCGCGCATCGTTTTTCAAACTTTTGGTTTCTAGTATGGGGTGTTCACTATACTAGGGAACAGTATTCTACCAGTAATTTTCAAGTGACGATGTAGTGGTAAGCCTTGCGTTACGTTGACCCCCAATGGCACTGCGGCATGTCTGCGGACTTACAACGCTAGAAACCGGATTTCAATACCCGTGGTGGGCAGAGCACAGATATTCCATTGTGTAGCTTTGTGCTTAATTACAAAAAAAAAAAAATAACCTTGAGTTTAATTTAGGTGTAATTGTTAAATTGCACCATAAGTAGGCTTAC